CATGTATCACTGAATCAAAGGCTTTGCAGAAGTCTATGTAAATTGCGTCTATTGCTTTACCCTGGTCAAGTACAGTAGTCCATATGTTTTTGCAGTGTAGGAGTTGTAAGTTGCAGGACAATTTTTTCCTGAAACCAAATTGTTTTTGGGAGAGTAGGTTGTTTGACACTAAGTAGAGAGTGTACTGGAACCAGTAGCAACTTCTGGCTGTCCAGGCCTCTGAACCGCTACGCTCACCCAACGGTCGCTCGCCTCTTCCGGATGCTCGACCATCTTTTCTGGCTGCTCGATGCTCACCCCACCCACCCCTGCCCTATATATGTTGCCTTTGCCATGTGGCCCAGCTAATCGCCTCACCAGTTGCCTTGTTGATGCCGGTTGGCTAAGCTCACCAAAGGTAAGCAATGTATGCCACCCACTGAGCCTTCGCCTTGGGTCAGGGGCCAGGGCCCAAGGGATGCGCGCTATTCCCTGAGGCTCTGGAACCTCCGGCTGCCTTGGTTGGGTCGGGGAATGCGTGATTCCCCAACTCCAGCCTTGCCCCGAAGCCGCCGCCAACTCGCCACTCGCTCTCCCTCAGCATCACCTATTTTCCCCTCCTTCAGAGGCCCTGGCCTGGCCCTTAATCTCCTCGTTTTCTCCCCTATGACTGCCTCTTTCGTCATCCATGGCCACGACCTTACCTTCCTCCAGTGGCTGGCTGCCAGGGAAGGCAAGCCAGGGTTGAGAGCCGCTGGGCTCCCTGCCAGCCCACATCTCACCCCCCCTTGTCACGAGATGCCTGCAGCTGCTGCCTCTTTTTTTTTTTTTTTTGGTGCAAGAAGTCTCCCAGTTGATGCCTCTTTGCAAGCTGGAACTGAGCCAGTAGCCCAAGCGCCATCTCCTACAGAAAGTCCCGGGATCTCACATGTGCACACATGAAGGTGGGACTTTCTGCAAGGAGAAGGTGCATGGGCAAGTCTCTCCAGTGCAGCGGGCTCAATGGGGTGGACCTACGTGCTGGCGCCTCTGCTCCCCTTGCTCTCTTCCAGGTTCTGGCCCGCCAGCCAGCCTGCCATCACTGCAGGTAAGGGGGCGGCGGTAGTTCACACACGCATCCGTGCTTCTCTAAATGAGCAGCAGCGAGAGACAGGCAAGAACTGCTCTTAGCGGTGGCAGCATTTACTGGCGGGGCATCAAATGCCCTGTGTCTGAGCTGGCCATTGTGCCGGAACCAGGAATAGCAAGGGAAGCAGAGCTGCCAGCCAGAATGGGTTGGCTGAGGCTTTCCTTCCTCCCCGCCTGGTGCAGCGAGCTCAATGGGGTGGACCTGCATGCCAGCACCTCTGCTCCCCATGTCCGAGCTGGTCAGTGTGCTGGAACCTGGAATAGCAAGGAGAGCACAGCTGCCAGCCAGAATGGGCGGGCCAGGGCTTTCCTTCCTCCCCACTCAAGCAGGCTTTCTGCTGCTCTTCTGGGGAGGCAGGGCTGTGCAGGAGCTGACTCCATGCAGGAGGAATATCTGTCTGATGCCGTGATAAGAGGTGCTCCAAAATGGAGGGTGGGGGGACTCCCGGGGCTGCCTCCTGTAGCAGTGCCGCCACCCCTGTAGCTGCTCACTTTCTGCCTTCTCCCAGGGCACAAAATGAACAAAGCGACAGGCCATGGCGGTTCATGCACTGGCCGCTTTCTGCCTCCTCTCAGGGGATGCACCGCTTCCATCCCAGCCTGGCCAGCGGGTGGGCGTACGGCCCTGAGGGGCATCTCTGCTGCACTGAGGCTGAGGGGGCAGCGGAGGTGTGCATGTGCAGCAGCGGCAGCCCCGGTATTCTCGGAATATCGCCATCACCCTCTCGGAATATCGCCATCAACGCTGCCACCGTAACCACTGGGAAACAAAATAAACAAAGTGAGTCCAGCCGCTGCCCCTCCGCTCACTTTCTGCCTTCGCGCATTGTGCCAGTCAGACCAGGTGTGGTGTGTGTGTGTGTGTATGTGAGAGAGAGAGAGAGAGAGAGAGAGAGAGAAAGGAAGGGAGGGAGGGAGGGAGGGAGGGAAAGAAAGAAAAGGAAAGAGCAAGAAAGAAAGAGGAAGGGAAAGAAACAAAGAGGAAGAAAGAGAGAGAAAGAAAAAAAAATAGGAAGGGTGAGAGAGAAAAAACTCTGTGCTATTTTTAATTGTTCCATTAGTTATCATATATTAATATTTTACACTGTCCATACACCTAGAGTGATTTTGATGCCTTCTTTTGCCTATTTGCCTTTAACTGCCTATTTTTCAGAGTTTACATGCATTGAATGTGTATGGTCCAGAGCATAAATACAGGTGTGTTTAACAGAGTTGAAAGGGACTATGGAGGTCTTCTAGTCCAACCCCCTGCTCAGGCAGGAAAATTCTGAGGATGCCAAACTCTGAGTAGAGGTCCTGGGAAAGGTGTCAGAATAACAGAATAACACTTAGAAGGGACCTTCCAGAACTTCTGGAGACAAGCAGTTCCACTGGTTAATTGTTCTCACTGTCAGGAAGTTTCTCCTTACTTTTAGGTTGCTTTTCTCTTTGTTCAGTTTCCTTCCTTCTGGTGCTTTGGAAAATACATTGCCCCCCCTTCTTTCTGGCAGCCTCTTAAAAGCCTGTTGCCACACTCTGGGGCATAGCATGTGAGCCATTTCCTCCTTTCAGTGGTCCATGAAAGTACATCTATAGTATGTAGATAATAAAATAAAAAAAAGGTAAAGAACATTTTTATGGAACTATAGATATGTTGAGGCTGGGTATGACAAGGAATGGCTGAGAGGGGAGGGGCCAGGCGAGGCACCCCTTGACGTGAGTGACATTGAGTTGGCCACACCTGCCCAGTCACATGATCACTGAGCCACACCAGCCAGTCATGTGACCACCAAGCCACGCCCACCCAGTCACATGACCACCAAGCCATGCCCACCCAGTCACATGACCCTAAGCCATGCCCACCAAAGAAGCCATGCCCAGAGAACCAGATAGTAAAAAATTTTGAATCCCACCACTGCTCCACATATGCCCTTGCAGGGGCTAGAGCTGAAACTGAGGCCTGGAGCTACGATAAGACCAGGTGCAAACTCCAATTGAAAGAAGAAATCAAGAAGAAGGGCAGTTGTTTTCCAAAATGCATCTTTTAGTATTTCAGAAGCAACCCCTAGGAATCTTTGCAACAGCTCCGGTTGTCAGGTTAGTTCCATCTTCCTCTGCATGAGAGTCCAGGTATGTTTGACTACAACCTCCAACATGTTCAGCCATAATGGCTATCTTTTCCATCTCATATGGGTCTTTTATTAATCTACTGCCATGTCCAAATGTCTTGCAGCTTATTGCTGCCTAATTTAGTATCCCGGGTTTCAGTTGTCATAAGAGCTAGGCCCAGACGTTGAGTGCAGCAAAAAGAGGTACTGAGAAACAGGTTCCAGCAGGGTGCATAGGAAAAGCCTATGGCAAACATTCTGTTTACAAAAAAATAAAAGATAGGTAGGGACTAAGCATCATGTCAGAGCCATAGAATTGTCCGTGCCCACAAAAATAAAACATAAAATTGGAAAATATTGTTTGATTGAAATGTTAAATTAAGAGTTTATGGTATATGTTCTATTTTAGTAGGATTTTTTCCTTCTTAAAGTTTCTTTTTTCAGCATTTCAAATAACAGTTCTATAGATTTTGGCATGAAGTTCAAAGATTTATATACCTTTTCATATCATAAAAATGCACAATGTACTTTGTCTGATATTATCAATCTTCTGTTAATGTTATACTGATCATTAATTGTATTAATTTCTTAATTCTGTTTAGTAATTCTGCTTATTGGTAATATATGCTATATTTGAAACTATATCTTTGTATTAAAATTTAATTTAAATTTTAAATTTTAAAATTAGCTATGCATATCAGTATCTATATCAATATAGATAAATATTGAAGCAGCCTGGATCACAGAATCTAGAATTATAGGGCTAGAAGGCAGCTTGGAGGTTTTCTATCTGCCCAAGGAGCCTAATCCCCAGTCCAAGGAGTCCTTATACCATTCCAGACAAATGGTTAATCAATCTATTCTTGAAGATCTCTCGCAATGGAGAACCCACAATTGCGGGAGGCAAGCTCTTCCAGTGATTAATTGTTTTTACTGTCAGGAAATTCCTCCTTATTTCCAGGTTGCTTAAATTTACAAGTGCTGTACACAGAACATTTCAGGTGCTTATCAATCTCAGGGCCCATCTCTTGCTATTTATTTTCACCTGACCCACTAGAACAGAGAGGGAATGTTGCAGGTCCTGTCCTCAAGGATGTACATCTGTCAGGACTCAGGAGAATGGCCTTCACGTTCATGGCTTCCACCCTTTGGAACATTGTCCCTGCAAGACTGGCCCCCACCTTGTCAGTCTTTCATAAGGCCCTGATCCTACTGTATATTGAATATCAATATTTATTAATTAGATTTTTATCCCTCCTTTATTAATAATATAGTTTCACTCTTGTACACAACTTTTGCAGTGAAAATTGCCTTTTTATGCATCGTGAGCCTGTTATCTGTAATATATTTTTAGATTTTATTTTATCTTTGTTTTTTAATATAAAAGCAATTTTAACAGCTTATATTTGTAACCTAATATGGATGTTCACTAGGTGGAAATATTTTTTTCTTCAAGCTCAATAGAAGAATTCATCATAGTATTTATTTATTTATTTGCTATATCAGATATTTGCATTAAAAGGTAGGGCTTTTGTTTTTGTTAGAAAGAATTTATTTGGCTCTCATTTGCTCAGAGTTAAAATATTTTTCATAATAATTTTATTAAAAGTTTTAAATAGAACAATAAAAAAGAAAAAAGAACTAAAAAAAGAAAAAAGGTGCAAGAAAGAAAATTTCTTTATATATTGCTAAAAAATCCTTCTTACTGCTTCGGACTGTATGTTTTGAATTTTATTTTATCAACATTTTCTTTCAAACAGGATTTACAGAAAAGCCAAATACTACTTCAAAAGCAGGTAAGACTAAACTAGTCTGAGGTGAGCTACTGCACTTGTACCAGCAAGATGGTTTCTTTTTAAATAGTGAAAACTGTGGCAGTTTGTAATAAAAGACAGAAAAGAAAGAAAAGAAACAGCTTATATTTGTAACCTAATAT